ACAAGTCCTGGAAAAGCAGGCAGCCCTGACAGTTCCTGCATGAACTTCAGACCTGCCCAGGGCCTGGTAGCTTGAGGAAGGGTGCTGGCAAACTCTCGGTCCCGAGAGACTTCAGGAGCCCCTGAAGGTCCAGTCTGGGCACTGCTGGCTGAGGTATCTCTGGTTTGGGCTTTCCCTGATCTTCTCCCTCCCACCCCCTGTCATGGAGGAAAGAGTATCACAGCTCCAAACAAAAATGAGAAAGGAAAATAACTTAAAAGGAAGTCTGTGCTTGCCCCTGTCCTGCTGCATGAATCCTCTGAACGGGGTCACTGGGCAGCACACACAGTGCAAATGTGCCTGGCAGGATGGCATGGCATGGCTCATGTCACTGGGGAGGTGGCCGGGAGGCTGGTACCTGGATGCTTTGATTCTTCTTTGGGCTGCCCTTGGTCCTCGGGAGTCATCACAGCCACTAGGGTCCAGCCCCAAGGTGCTCCCTGAGGCGTAGTAGGGGAAGTGCCCCCAAATGCCCTGCGGCTCAGGGTCTGTGGGAGGGAGGGAGGCTGGGTGACTGGTGGCCTAGCATCTGGTGGCTCTGTGAGCCGTGTGGGTCGGCCATGCTGATGGTCGTCTGGTCCTGCTAGCTCCACGGTAGGCTCTGTGACATCAGGAGTGGCCTTGGGTTGTGGTGAGGAGCTCCCAGGAGTGGGGGAGGTAGGTGGGGAGGCCAGGCTTGGGCCCAGGCTGGCGCTGGGGCCTGAGGCCCTCTTAGAGCAGGACTCGCAGCACAGCTGGTGGTAGGCAGGGATGGCACAGTGGTGATCAAGCGCTTCCATCTGGCAGAAGATGGACCTGTCCCCCACGCAGGACTCTGCTGCACACACAGCACAAGGAACTGCTGGGGAATGCCTGCCGGCCGGGGGACACAAACCCCACTGCCCTCCATCTGCCCTCTTCCGTCCCCAGCCCTGCTGTACTCACTACTTCGTCATTTGGTGGGGGAGTGCAAGCTCCTCTATATGGGAGAGCAACCGAGCCCCGGAGAAGCATGCCTCAGCAGGGTCCCCATGCACAAACCATCCAGGCCTACTCCACCAGAAACTCGCAACAGGAGATGGCACTATTTCAACAGAACCCTCCATGGAACCCAACATGTGGGAAGACCTGAGAACTGGGGCCCTGTGTGATTCGGCCGGCCACACACTTGCTGCTTCACAGTGACCTGGCAGCTTCGGCACAGCCCAGTCGGCCTGAGCTGTCTGGGACAGAGCCGGGCAGGGGTAAGCCTACCCTGCAGTAAAGTTCAAAAACCGTGCTTGAGATGGAAATGGGAACCCGATCCCTCCCGACCAACTCGAAGGACTCTCGCCCCTCTAGCCACAGGCCCTGCGAGTGCATGCCCGGGTTCACAAGCAGATCGATGCCCTGCCCGCAGTCAGTGCAATCTGGACCACTAGGCCCTCTGCCACAAACTTGGCAAGTAAATTGAGATTCAAGTCTAGGCTGCAACACTGTGAGGCCTTACATATGCCCCCTGAACTCTCCAAGCCTAGTGTCCTTGTCAGTAAAATAAATGCTGCATGTGCCAAGGGACATTCGTAAAATGACATAAAGTGGCTGGCACAGAGGGGGTCTCATCATACTAGTTTGCCTTAAGTAGCAACTAAACACACTTCTGTGAGTAACGCAGGCAGGGCCCTCTAAGCAGAATGCAAAGGCAAGGGAGCAGATTTCCACTAGGCTTTGCCAAAGAGCTAAGGGAAAGGGCCCTAAGGGAACAAAGCGA